GGCAAACGCTTTGGAAAATGCAATCAGCTTTTCCGCAACAATTGCAGCAATCAGAGCTGTCTGCATGTTGGATTTTTCAATACGATGCGAGCACGGATTACAGACACTGTCGTGCTTCCGCTGACTATTTGACCAGAAAACTGATATTGTTTGTGCGGACAGTTTTTTTTTTTTTTTTTTTTTTTTTTTTTTTAATAACAACAACAATAAAAAAAAAGATAAAAACAACTAAATGTGTTTCCATTGGGTAAATTCGACGTGCAGCTACACTGAATAGCAAAATTTGTCAGCTGGAACTTTTATTTGTGGACCCATTTAGCTACGCTCTATAAAGGATTCCAAGTGTGTTGCTGTACTCTTACAATTCACTTCCTCTCTTTGCTTATAGACTAGCAGCTTCTTCTATTTTCGACAAGGGGCCTACGAACTATTATACGCTCTCTCAGCAATCCGTTCTCTCGCTCTCCTTCTCTCTCATGGAGTGCCACTTTGAGTATCCTGTGAAGCATGCTGCCGATTTGAGTAATACCTCGAACACTACCCTAAAAAAAAAAAAAAACGCTCTCTAGTCACGTCATATTTTTTTTTTCCTGATTCGGTGATGTATTTATATATACAGTAGATTCCTATAATTCGAAAGGGCAAGGGAATCAGTTTTTTTTTCGATTTACACAGAAATTCAAATTATCGAAAATGATTTATTATTTAATTTTTTATATTTACAGCGCTTTTCGATTTAGCGGGGTGCGATTTATCGAGACTCGACTGTACATGCATATATGCCAAACTGTATATCGACATCAGCGCACTCTTTAGAAGCAGAAAAGAAAACTCGCATTAAATTCATAATTTTATTACGCATTTATTTTTTCGTACACTCTTTTTATATATGCATATTTTTAACTTTACAAAAAAAAAAATTGTGTTTTTCTTTTTTCTGTGTGTTTTTTGTTTGTTTTCTTTTTTCTTTTTTTTTTTTTTCATTATTATGCTTTAATTAAATATTTGTTTACTTTCCTTTTTCCACATTTTTTTTTTTTTATGAATTTTGATTTGCATTTGTTGTCATGCTGCTGGATTTAAACAATTTGGTTTTTAGTTTGAAAAGAGTTTTCGTCGTTTCTCTGGAAAGTTTTTGTTTCCATTTAAAAGTACACCAAAAAAAGATCAGCTATGCAATTACAACTAGAATATATTCGTAATTATCGACTTGCATTTGCAGTTCTTGATTTTCAGATCATCTCTCTGTCATGAAGAAGAAAGTTACGTTTGATATACATTCATAATACTTTTTTAGTTTTTCTCTTTTCTCTTTGCTCTTAGCTCTTTTTTTTTATTATTATGAGCTTTCTCGTTTTCGATAATCTCAATTGGAATCGTTTTTGATAAATGACTACATCATTTTGCAATATCTTGGGTGTGTTTGTATAGTAGTGTGTGTGAGTTTTGTATGTGTGTGTGTTTGTGTTTTCCCGTTCCTTAGGGTCTGATAACAATTACTTTTTTGATATATCATATTTCATACTTTAACAGAGAGCCATGCACTTCCGCAATCATATCATATCATATATATATATATATATATATATATATATATATAAATCAATGAGTTTTTCGCTCATTTTTTTACCATTTCTTTAATTTTTTTTTCTTTAAATTTGGTTTTCTTTGTTTTTTTAAGTCACACTGAAATATTGAATACAATTAATTGTACTTAATCTAATGCTATGACATGTATGTATATTTGTTTCGCACTCTATACTTAGTTATTCTTTAGTAATTCACAAAGCCAAAAAAATATACATTTATTAAAATTTTTTACTTTAATTTTTTTTTTTTTATACATTTTGGTACCATGTTTGTTTCCAGTTCTATTTTAATTTTTTGGTTTTTCGTAAACAGCAGGAAAAATGAAAATCTTAACGAAAATTCTCTAAAACGAGATTTGTTAGTTCACATCATTCTTTCTAAAATCCATCGGCTTGTTGAGAGACCAATTTTGTGTGTTTTGTGTAAAATTTGATTTTAACAGCTTTTTGAAAACTTTAGAGATTTAAAAAGAAGTATATTGAATACATACATATACATACACATATATAGAGACTATATACATAAATGTGTAACACTTGGTATTCGATTTGATTAAGGCTTAGGCCTGACAAATAAATGTAGCAACATTTCAGCTGCAGTCGAACAAGTGTCCAAAATTTCTTCGCATTAATATTTATTTAAATTTGAGACTTTTTAATTGATTCCAATGCCAATTTAATTCTGGTTAAGGGTTTTTGAAAGTTTCTTTAACTATATTAAATTATTTTTGCTGGCATTTCTATAATCAGTTAGGAGATTTATAGAACTGTGTGGGCCCACATTAAATCGTCTAACTATCGCTTAAATAGTTGAGCTTAACTACTCTGATTGAATACCATCATGATATGAGCCACAGCAATTTTAAATTCTGATTTGTTATGGTAGTTCATTAATGCTAGCTGTCTCTAGGTTAATTGCTGATATTATTTAAAAGTATAGAAAAATAATAAATGAATAAATTAAAGAAATTTGATATACATAAGTAGACGATTTAGGTTTTGAGGAAGATTCAGTTAGTCCCTAAACAAGGTGACCTCAGGCATTGATGGCTAAATATATGAAAAGATAATAATATAAAAGATAATAATAAAATAATGTGGTTAAAATATATGTCATAGATATAAGAAGGTAAAGTTAAACTTCTAAATTATATACATATGAATATCTTTATATATATAAAACTAATTAAAATTTAATATTCAGAGAATTCATATCTATGGGAAATGACACAGAGCTTAGGGTATTCATTAGTCATTCACTTCTAACTAAAACACTCTTGTTTGTCTGCATACAAATATATTATGATAGGATTCAAGTTTGAAATCGAATACTTGTAAATACTTGAGTAGATTACCTAAAGAAACAACAATTTACAAAAGGAAACTGAATTTACTTGAATATTGCATACATACATACCGAAAAGAAATAATAACAAACAATTGCATTTAACCTTCAGCTAGCATTCACGAGAGAATCAAATATAAAGTTCAATTCTCAGTTTATATGCAATGTTCAGTTATCAGAAGGGGGATGGGGCTCAGAGGTTAGACTGTAGCTTTGCTTGGGTGGGTCCGAGTTGAACGTGTGGGTGAATTGGCATTGTGTGGGTTCACTTTCAGCAGTTGGCATATTGTCATGATCCGCTTAGAGTTATCAACAATATATATATATAGTATATATGTATATATACTATATACTTGGGCATCAAAGGTGGATGCTGCTTTCATTGTTCGATTATTTTGTAAGTATTGATAACAAGAAACCAATGATAGTAGAGTCAAAGAAGTAAAGTATTCATTCGCTAGTTATATGTATTTTGTTAGATTTTTGAAAAAAGTAATTATACCTAATATAGATAGAGGCATTCGCCTAGTTTTAGTTTTAGATTTAGGTTTAGTAGTTCAAGTTGTGAAGGAGTTAGTTAGAGTTCTAAGTGTTAACACATGGATAGTTAAAGACCAGTTGGTATGCAACGCTTTTGTTTTTTATTTTTTGCTTTCGGTTTTTGGGTTTCCTTCAGGATGTAAACTTTGCTGTATGTAATTATTCGTACTGCTGCAACATTTATCTAAAAATAATACAATGTTTTTTTTTCTACACTTTCATTAAACTATTTGCTCGTCTCAATGTCCTAAATATTCATTTCTTGTTCATCATTCGATTTTTTTATTTTTCTTTTTTTTTTCTTTTTTGATTAATATTTATTGTTGTTTTGGACATTATACATTTGTTTAAATTTAATATAATTTTAGTTTTAATTTTTTCTTGTTCATTTGTTTATGTTTGTTTCATTTTTTTTTTTTTTTTAACAATTGCACTTTGTGCAGAAAAAGTTTGTTCGTTAAATGTTTGTTTCTAGTATGTATTTTGGTTGTAAAGTTGAAAGCTTTTCTTTGGGTGTTTCGGCTAAGGTACCAATTTGCTACAGGTTGTCTAAGTGGAAATTACTTTTGCACTATCTCTCTCGCTCTCTCATTCTATCTTTCGGTTTGGTTCATGTTCTCGTCTCGGTCAGGCCAATAGGTCAAGGTTCAAGATTTGTTTGCTGTTGGAAGACTATAGCTAAATACATTCGTGTGTGGGTGTATGGGTGTGTGTGTGTGTTTGTGGGAGTGTGGCTGTGTATGCACATACCAGAGGAGTCTGTATGCCTATAGTAGTTAGATCGGTTTGGACAAAGATCTTAACAATCTGCTTGCTACATACAATCAATTATTTACATTCCATTTTAGTGTGTTTCTGTCTTATGACTATATCTATAAAATACAACACATCCACATATACATATATATAGTATTTGATAAATATCGTAATTGTGTGTTTGCAAACATACATATATTGTATATTGTATGCCTGTATACATATCATATATACAGAATTTTCCTAATTTAATCATGAATAGAAGAACTAGAACTAAGCATTTGATTTGCTTTCTCATTTTGTTAATACTCAACTTTCTTTTCTTTTTTTTTCATTATTTCATTATTTTCATTATTTTTTCATATATTTATTTATTTATTTTATTTTATTTTTTTTTTGCATTACATTGCTGGTCCAATTTCTGATTTAAAAACATTTGATTTTATACTTACAATTTGCCTTAAACACACACATACATGTATAGATATATCTTGTCTTGTCTTATATGAATTTTATATTTTTCTTCCTTCTCTTTTTTTTCAAATTTAAATTTTACATATAATACGGAAATTTGATATATCATGTTTATTAATATTATTTTTGGCTGAAATAAAATTTAGATAACTATTTTGCATGTTCTTTTAGTAGTATATCCAATAATCCTCAATTTTATTAAGGTTTCGTATAGTTGAGTTCTCTTCTTCTTCTTTTTTTTTTTTTTTTTTTTTTTTTTGCTCTATATTCGCAATTAAGTAAAACTGGGCTTTTGGTTTGGGTTTATCTTGCCTTGATTGAATTTTTTTTTTTTTATATATTAAATTTTGACTATCCCAAACAGTTTAGATGTTTACCTTGGTAATTCGTTTCATTCTATGTAGTTAAAAAAAAAAGAAATATAAACAAAAAATTTGAATACAACAAAATAAGTATCTTGTTCTCTACTTAAGCTAGTTATTATAGTTTTGTCTTTTGTTTAGTATTCTTCTTCTTATATTGGCTTGCAATCCATTTTTGGTTTCATATATTTAACCGTTAGTTTTTGTGGGTTGGTTGGTCTAAAGCTTTCATTACGCATGCATTTGTCGTGGCAAATTCTGTTGCATACTTTTGTGGGCGAGCCGAACAACATTTAGAAATGGCGCATCTATTGTTTGTATATACTTGTGTATAGTACAGATTTGTGTATATATATATGTATGTGTGTGTGTGTGTATGCGTAGGTGTGTGTATGCTCAATCGATCACTCGCAATGGCCACAACAGAAATGTTGGCTTTGAATGCAATTGACATAAATTGCCTATTGTGAATAGTTCGCTTGTGTATGTGTATTTGTGTTTCTGTGTGTGTGTGCGTGTGTGTATGTGTGGCACAAGTGAAAAATATAAACACATCCACACTTTTCGAGCATAATTGCATATTTATGGCCATTTCGTAGGTAGTTTGACAATTCGCGTTCGATTTCACTCGCTCATATTTCATTTGGTTGCTATGCAAATTTCTGTATGCGTGTGTGTGCGCGCATGTGTGTGTATGTGTGTGTTGAGTAGAGCAGCGTTTCAAGCAGTCGACAGCAGCAGAACGAGCAGAACGAGCCAGAACAGATAACAGATAGAGCAAGAGATAGAAAGAGAGAAAAAGAAAGAAGAAAACATATATTTTAATTGGCATACAAGAATTTCAATTTCATGCATCTCTATATATGTATGTGTCTACACCTGTCTCTCAGTGTATATATGTGTATGCATGTGTGTGTGTGTTCATTGTAGAAGAAGAAGAGAAACGAAAAAATCATATCAGAAAATATACTAAAACACAGTGGCAATAACAGTTAGCAAAAGGTAACGAGCAACTGCATTCATTATTCTATTTTTTTTTTCTTTCTTTTTGTTGTTGTTGTTGTTGTTTCTTTTCACCTTTTGCTCTGTGGCTGAGCAGCTGAAAGCTCAGTCGAGCTCTAATTGCTTTGGTCTTAATGACACTTCAACAAATACAAATGCAACAGAAACAAAACAAAACAAAAAGAAAATGGTAAACACAGTGAAAGTCATATAAACAAACATAGACACATAAACACACACGCATATATATACATATATGTATTTACAGTTAACAGTTAATGTGTGCTTCGGACAGAGCAGAAATTCATTTAAATTTATACTCGTTCACGTGTTGAAAGGAGTACATCGAATATGGATAATGTCTGTCAATCTGTCGGTCTGTTCATTTGCATTATTGAAGTTGGTCGGATATAGCGTAGCTAGTGTTATATATGTATGTAGCACCTTGATTACCTTTTGTCTCTCATTTCTATTGTGGGTCGGAAATTCATGTATTGTACTATATATAATATGATTTACACATTGCATACTTTAAGCCCTTAAGCGTGAACGAGTATTATGCAGTCGGGCACTACCGACTCTAACATGTCTTCTATTAAATTCATTTATTTAAACAACATTTAGTTTATCAAAGAGCAAATGCAATAAAACATTTTTAAATTATTGATTTTAAATCAAGTTTTGTGTTTCTTAACTTCATAATGCATAAAACATATACCCATAAAAAAATCTTCGTTGCTATATTTATTTGTGTGTGTGTGTGTGTGTTGAGAACAGTAAATTCAAGAATATAGGTTTATGTATATATTAAAGTTGACCGTCAAAATTCATAGGCTAACTATGCATATATAGATTTGTTAATATTAATTTCCGTATATCAAAGCTCGCAAATCACTGTTAACTATTTTATGGAAAATAATCATATTTGCTCTCTCTTTGAGTAAGAGAACTCGCTCGCTGAGCAAAGGCCTTTGGTTTTTTTGAGCGTCTGGCGTTGAACTATTCGTGTGTCGCTCCTTAAACGAACATCGTTTAGAGAGCGATACGATAGACGATCGCAGTAAAAGAGAACAAATAACTCAAAGACTCGAATAACTTTCTGTCCGATTACGGACGTAGTTGCTGAAGAGCCGACGTAATCGGTTGTTCTCTGAGTTTTTTCTCAGAGTGTACGTAAATGACATTTATTTGCAGAGATCGAGAGATGGTCAACAGTTTTTTGCGATCTATGATATTTATATAATTAGATTTATATATTGCATACAGTGTTCACTGTAGTTTGTACCAGACTAAAATTCTTTGGAAATTACACAAAATTTTAAAAGAATTAATTTTATAAATTGAAAAATACAAATTAGATTTATATTCCTATAATTCCTATAATTCTTTATATGTATGCATTATATCATTTATAATATATAAAATTAAGAAAAAAAAAAAAAAAAAAAACAAATAATACAAATTCATCAAAAATATCAAAAAAAAAAAAGATATTTATCAACATCTATCAATATATGTATATACTATATCAATATTTTAAAATTATATTTTTTTAAATGATTTTTGCTTGAATAGTTGCACAAATCCAATATGCCCTGTATTCCTGTCATACAAAATTATACAAAATTATTAAATAAAAGTGAATGAATGCAAATATTATAAAATATCATATCAACACACAGACACACGCATACACCCACCCAAACAACACACATACAGTTACATGCGCACATTTACAAAACCAGAACTCTAGCTTTCATGAAGTATTCTATTCGTACACATACATACATATGTATATGTACATATTAGTAGCTCGTTCGTTTGAGCCATTGAGCAAATTAGTTGGATCTTATTGATTAAGTAATAATAAGTAGTACACCTTTGATTTTCTAGTTGCTAGTTGCATGGTCTTGGTTTCCTTTATCTTTAACAGTTTAAAGTAGTTTTAATTTTCATCACAGCTAACGTCAATTTATTTATTTATTTTTGTTTTCTTTTTAACTATAATAACTATTTTTTTTTTTTATATTTTTTTTTTTTTTTTGAATCAATTTATAGAACTTTTTGCTGCCAATTATGAAACGCAAAAAATGAAAAATAAACACAAACATTTCAATCAGATTTTATATTTTATTTCTGTTTTTTTTTTTCTCTTCTTTTTGAATTTTGTGATTAAAATTAGTTTAGGTTATATAGCTAGTATAGTATACTGTTATACAATTGAGTTTATATTTAGTTTTTGTATTTTTTTTTTTTTTTTTTTTTTTCTTTTATAACTATAACACAATTTACAATTTGTTTTAACATCAATTTAACATACACATAGCTTTGGGGATTTTCTCTCATGATTTATGTTTTCATGCCAGATGCTAATCTGTTCTACTATGTTTTTAAGTCTAAGTAGAGGGGGAAAAAAAAAAAACATCATACAATATGTCTAAATATATATATAGATAAATATGTATATATAACCACATCAAATGTATAAGTAAGTACATTGCATGTAAATCTTATCAATTTAAACACTTTCAGTTGCATTATCAACCTAGAAAAAAAAATTTAAAAAAAAAAAAACACTCTCTCTTCACACTTGGTAATTTCCATATAAAGAGGGAAGTTTTTGTTGCTATTTGAATGCCAAGTTGCATGCATATATCTGGATAGCCCAAGTCTCGGATATCAAAGGTACTCACTGCTCAGCGAGCGTTTGGCTTGAAGTTAACAACTGCAAATATGTAAATGCCTATTAGCAGGAGACGCCCTGCTTGGCCACCGTATACCAGGTGCTGACCTTTACCAGCGAGGGCGAGTCTGGTGTTTGGGGCAGCTCCGTGTTGCCGTGCCCGGCCAGCCCGTTGCTATCCACTGGCTGCACCACCAGGCCATTGGGCGGCGGCAACGGCGGGGCAGGTGGTGCAAGCGGTGCAGGCGGCGCAGGCGGTGCTGGCGTTGTTGCTGCCACAGCTGCTTTGGGCGCTGCAGCCGGCTGCTGCGCTGTTTGCTTACGCTGCTTGTGCTTGCTTTTACTTTTGGCCGGCTTGGGCGGTGGCTGCTGCTGCTGCTGCTGCTGCTGCTGCTGGTGCTGGCCAGGGCCCTGGCCCAGCTGCTGGGGATGATGGAAGTGCATTGGCTGTGGCGTGTGCAGATCGCGACCCACCTGCGGCCCCACCTGCGGACAGCGAAATCGTATGGCCAGCTCATTGGCCATGCTCAGCTCCGGCCAGCGCGGCCTAGATCCACGCGCATCCACTGCTGCATGTGGATGGGGATGCTGATGGGGATGCTGATGTGGATGTGGATGCTGATGATGACGCTGCCGACTCTTGCTGCGCTTGCGCTGTCGCGACTTTGAATGGGATTGGCGCAGGCGCAGCGTTGGCAATTGCCGCGAATGCAGCTCCGTTTGGGGTCGTTGGCAGTGCCGGCAAATGGCTTGATTGCGTCGAGCGATGCCCATCAGCGGCTGTTTGCCAGCTTCATAATCATCCTCATCGTAATCGTCTTCATCCTCATGCTCATCATCAACATCGTCGTCGTCGTCGTCGTCATCGTCGCTGTCGCTGTCGTTGTTATCTTCATACTCATCCTCCTCCTGCTCCTCCTCCTGCTCCTCCACCTCCTCCTCCTGCTCATCGTAGTCGTCGATGACGCGGTTTTTCAGTGTTCGAGGCCTGTGATTAGTTTTGTAGTTGTTGTGGTTGTGGTTGCTAGTGCAGTTGGTTGTTGTTCTTGTTGTTGCTGTTGTTGTTGTTGTTGTTGTGCTGGCGCCATCGATGTCAATGACATGACAGCACTTGGCAGCCGCCTGGTGTCTTGTGCTATGTATTTGTTGCATTTGTTGTTGTTGTTGTTGTTGTTTCATCTTGTAGTTTGACTTACGTTTCTCAGTTTCCATTTGCTGTTTGTTGTGCTGCTTTTCTTTTTGCTGTTGACTCCGGCTACGTCGCAGTCGCCGCACCGTATACTCATCGCCCTTGTCAGTCGGATATGGTCAGAATGCTGTATCAAAGACAGACATCGATCTGGATATGGCATCATCATTGCGGCACGCCTCCAAAAACTCCTCGAGCGTCACAACGCCATCCCGATTAATGTCCATTTTCTGTGTGCGAAAGTGAAATTGCGTGTTGAATACACATTAAAATGGAGCAGACTAGACTTTGAAATCTCTGAATAGATGCTAATATTATGGAATGTGTGTTGGGTTCAAAGGCACAACAAAATTAACTAAACTTTTGTCAATTTCCAGAGCTTAACAGTCTTAACTGGCCTGAGTGGCTAAGCTTAAATTTAATATGGGCCAGTGTGCTTTAAGGCTGCGCATAATAATGATAAATATCTGGTCATGTATGCGGCTAACTGTGTTTAGCCCCATTTGCCGCTTCCGTTGCCATCTGCAGCAGCTGGATAGAGGGCAAGCTGGATAGAGGCATTCAACAGGACCTCAGCCGCTAATGACAATGCGTGACTGGCAAGCAAAGCGAATAGACAGATAGAGAGATAGCAACACAGGGAGATAGAGAGAAAGAGAGAGAGAGAGAGAGAGAGAGAGAGATCTTTGGGTTAGACAGCCTGATGAGTGTGCCCATTGAATGGGTCCAGCTGTCCAGCTGGCGAAATGGCCAACAAAGAAATACATAATTTGATTTGCATAATGCAGAGTAAATAAGCCGACAGTTTGAGGCGAGCGCAAATTGAAATTGCATAATTAACATAAGTAATGTGAGCATCTGTCGATGTCGAAGGAAAGGAACAGGAAATGGAACTTGAACTGGAGACGGAGACGGTACTCGTAGTCGTACTCGTACTGGTACTCGTACTCGTAGGAATGGCTACGGCTCACTCACCTGAAAGATTTGCTCCACCTTGCCCTTGATCTTCTCCTCCTCGGGACACTCGTCCGGCAGTCGGCCCATTAGCTCGTATATGGCAGTCACAATGTCAGTCATTTCCTCCCTCGTAATGAAGCCGTCGCCATTGATGTCGTACAGCGAGAATGTCCAGCGCAGCTTCTCCTCGACGGAGCCGCGCGACAGTATCGAAAGTCCTTGAACGAAGTCCTGTTGTAAATGAAATGAAAAATATGCCAACATAAATACACATTACGCATTACGCATTACGCATTATGCATTACATATTCAGATACAGATACAGATATAGATACGGATGTGAAGACAGATACGGGACAGTCAAGACTCTCCGGGCAACGACAAAGAGAAATTGAAAATCTGTTTATAAAGAATTGCCCATAAGATGCGGCCGGCACACGACTTAAGACTCAAGTGCCTGACCACAGCTGTCCACAGATAGCTGCAGCTGGAGACCACACGGACTAGCCGAAACGTAAGCTGCTCCTGAAGTAGACATTTATTTCAGTGATTCGTATGACAAATGTGACCAGATAAGAACTGGCAAGTGGAAAAAGTTCTACAGCTACAGCAGTCTGAGAGGAAGAGGGAGAGCGAGAGTGAGAGGGACGGAGGGACGGAGGGAGGCGCATTCAAGTTGAACAGCTCGCAACTAGAATACAGCTGAGAGCAGGTTTTGTGTGTTCCTATACCCTCGAACTACGTAGGTGTAAGCATAGCCGCATCAAGGGTCACATGGGATCAGACACAATCGATTTAATAGTATTTGCATAGAATTTGATGCCTAGATCTCTCAGAAAAGGACTATCAGATCCACTCTTGCTGGTAACCTGTTACATTCAAAGGCAATTCGATCAACTTGCAGCTACAGGGTATCTCTTTGTCGCAGCCTTCTCGTCGCCACTGCGAAACGTGTTTGGTTATTTGTATTTGCGAAACATTTGCAGCGGCCCATTAAGCCCCATTTGGACAAGTGCAGAGTTCGCTTGGCTAATTTATCAATGTGCAGGAAACGTGACAGAGCAAACCTACAGAAAAAGAGAAAACGAAGAGAAAAATCGTTGCCTACTTGCGGGCGTTGCAGCCAGAGACGCTGACAAATGCGTGCAGTCAATGGCACGCGTATAAAACCCTTTGGATTTCGTTCTTTAAGCTGCATCCCTAAATGAGTAAAGTCATGAGGACAAGTGAAAGCAGATTGGGAAGTACCCTTCCACCAGATACACTATTGCCAGCTAGCTATTTTTTATATGCATAGATTTAGTAAATTTGCAAATATTTTTGCTAAGTCACACTGTTTTAACCAGTTTATAGGTGCCATAGTTGTATTTTAGTATTTATGTACCTTTAGTGTAAATATAAACAGCGCACATTTCGGAGCACTGGGACTACAATTTACATTAGTTTCCAATTCTCACTCCTAAAGATAAAACAAAGATATGTATATTTGCCAAGGCACAATCATTGCTCCTCTTTAAAATAGGTTTGTTTCCAATTTCTGCAAAAAAAGTTATCCAATGTGTGAATTGTTTTATGTATTCATCAAAGTCCCTTCACTATCATCAAAGTAGGCTACACAAACTTGAAACACTTACTACTTAGAACAGACTTGTAATTCCCAAGTTGTTATAGCTTTCACAGAGTGTCAAGGCATCGAGAACGAAGCAGTTGTCGCAGTTGAAGTTGCTCACAGAGCGACTTCTTCTTAATGAATTTTGAACAAATAATAAATACATCCACATTTCCAGTAGGGCATAGATTTTTGGTTATTTCATCTTTAGTCGGAGTTCTGGTAAGTAAGCCGATAAAGGTGAAATAACCATTAAAATCAATAAATAATAAACTAGTAAGAGTGCTCTAGGCGAGACTGCTCGACTAGCCACTCATTCTCAGGCTGTTTAATGGCGTTGATTTTCTGGTTATTTCATCTTTAGTCGGAGTTTTGGTAAGTAAACCGATAAAGGTGAAATAACCACTAAAATCAATACATATTAAACTAGTGAGAGCGAGTGCTCTAGTAGAGACTGCTCGACTAGCAGATACTCTGCAGCGTGCAGTAAGCTGCTGTGCGACTGCAGTGTGAATGCATGTGCATGTAAATGCATACACACGCACGCATAAGCACGCACTCTGCCAACTGCGCAATTGACGCAGCAGCGAATGCGGCTACCCATAATGGGGTATATATGTCAATATGTGAGAGCTTATTTATTTAATACATTTTTCAGCTATATGTGGGGCGTTGCGTAGCGAGCTCCCGGTGTCGCTTAATTCATTCACAAGCGCTTTCTGGTTCAATAGTCTGTGACTAAGTCAGGTTTCTCTGCTCCTGTGTCAAAACCTCAAATTCTGGTCGCAATTCTTGTTCATCGAAAGCACAACAACCCTGATGCGAACGACATAGCGAGCCGTCTCGCTCTCACCCAGCGACACCCGGGACCACGTTCAGCAACAGCTCTAGTTGTCCCTCTCTTAGTAACAATACTTCATTTAATTGTTAGTACAATCCTAATGAATCGATTAATACGAACTGCCGGTGTTTCTCAACACTATTGCATCAAGAAATCCCACAGTAACTTCAACAACAGTGAAACATCGCACTGATACGACATATATATACAGACTACAGTGAGCACTGGCCATGAGTGCACTATGTCAGTCAGCTGTCCCCTTTGTAGCAGAGTATCTGCTAGTCGAGCAGTCTCTACTAGAGCACTCGCTCTCACTAGTTTAATATGTATTGATTTTAGTGGTTATTTCACCTTTATCGGTTTACTTACCAAAACTCCGACTAAAGATGAAATAACCAGAAAATCAACGCCATTAAACAGCCTGAGAACGAGTGGCACAGCAGCTCACTGCACGCTACAGAGTATCTGCTAGTCGAACAGTCTCGCCTAGAGCACTCTCACTAGTTTCTTATGTATTGATTTTAATGGTTATTTCACCTTTATCGGTTTACTTACCAGAACTCCGACTAAAGATGAAATAACCAAAAATCTATGCCCTACTGGAAATGTGGATGTATTTATTATTTGTTCAAAATTCATTAAGAAGAAGTCGCTCTGTGAGCAACTTCAACTCCGACAACTGCTTCGTTCTCGATGCCTTGACACTCTGTGAAAGCTATAACAACTTGGGAATTACAAGTCTGTTCTAAGTAGTAAATGTTTCAAGTTTGTGTAGCCTACTTTGATTATAGAGAAGGGACTTTGATGACTACACAAAACTATTCACACTTTGGATAGCTTTTTCTACAGAAATTGAAAACAAATATATTTTTAAAAGGAGCAATGATTGTGCCTTGTGCGCTGTTTATGGTATCCCCTCGTGGGACTTATCCCAACTATAAATAATTAAAATTAAACTGATTCATTAAAACGTCTAACACTCTATAGCCTTAATGCACTTCAACTGGAATTAGATTGAATTAAGCTTAGACTACAATCATCAGAGCTGTCCTACATATATTATATATATATATTCTCCAACAAGAGAAACAATCGACTCGATCGAGCCAGTGTCTTCTGTGGTGTTTTCTCGCTTTTGTTTTTTCGCATATAGCTAGTATAGTATGTTCGCTTTAGTTTATGATTTATACATTTACTATATTAGTAGCAGTTTTTACGGACAGACGAATGGACACAGCTAAATCAACTCAGCTCGTCAACCTGATTAAAAATCGATAGCTTGTCCCGTTATTTTGTTATTGATTAAAAACTTTATCGAAAATCAGTAATAAATTCATATCTGTTACATATATATGTATACATTATAAAAATACATTATATACTATAAAAATAAGATATAATAATAATATAACAAATATTATAAAAAGATGAAAACAATTATAGTTTTTAATATTATATATAAAAGAAAATATTTGAAAAATATCTTTAAAAAAAATAATAATAATAATAATAAATGATAAAAAAGGAATTAATAAGAAAATAATCAAAAATTAAAAAAAAAATCATATATAAAATTTATTCATAGAGGTAATTAAAAAATACCAAGAATAGAACATTTTTTAAAAATATTATTTTAAAATATATATATAATTTTCATGATCTTTCTATAATATTTTGTATATTATCTGTATATGAAATGAAAATATAATAAATAAAATATAAATAAAATAAAAATTGATAACCAGAAAAAAATTATAAGTAATATTAAAAAAAAAAGAGAATTTAATTGAAAAAGACCGGTAATATAATTTGCTAAAAAATGTATATTTTTATTTGTATATATCTACATTAAGCCATATCTCTTGTCTTTGGTATTTGTGGCTGAGCAAAATTGTTTATATATTTTGTTAACAATGCAATGCAATGTCGAAATACATTAATTTAAACTTCTATAAGCTTTGAAAAAAAAAAATTAAGAAGCAAATTTAAAAAAAAAAATTGTACAATATAACTTTGTACCTTTTATTTATAATAGGTGCGCAGATAATTTTCGCTTTATATATATTTGACATAAAATTAGCAAATGATGTAGACTATTCTATACTAATCAATACTATGTACATACATACATATATGCATTTACATATACATATATAATATTTGTGCATACTTTGCCTTGTTCAACTGAATTTCTTTCGCTTTTATTGTCAAATCCAACTCTGACTAATGTAATTACATTATTTAGCTTGCATTTCAATAAGGCCATTGTTATCTGTACACGTATCTAGCTACATGTATATGTGTGTTACATATATTCGTATATGTGTGTGTGTTAATTTGAGTTGAGGTTTTCTCGTTATCCTCATAAATCACGAACAAATCGTTTTACATTTGCTAGTCGATGTTTTGCACTCAAATTGATGTTGTTAATGCTCTTGTTACTGGAGTTGTTGTTGTTGTTGTTGTTGCACAACGTTGGCAATTTAATAAAAGGAAATGTCGTGCAAATCGTGTATAAAACACCTTGCAACAATATGTGAGCTTAATTGAAAAGCGGAAGTCTACTTAGTCAGCCGTCATTCGGCACACTCGCCGGGTATGGGGAGCGAGAGCTGGGGACGATGTGGCCCCATATGTAAACATATGTGCATGTGCATGTCTCTCTCTCTGTGTGTGTGTGTGTGTGTGTGCACATGGTTTATATGGCGAACGTGCCTTGTAGTCATTACAATTTTAGGTCATTATTCACAAAACGAAACTGGGCGAGCTGGCAAAAAGGCA